GGGTGACAGAGCACTGGCACAGGCTGCCCAGGGAGGTTGTGGAGTTCCCTTCTCTGGAGATTTTCAAGACCCGCCTGGATGCAGCCCTGAGTAATGTGCTCTGGGCAATCCTGCTTTAGCAGGGGAGTTGGACTAGATGATCTCTAGAGGTCCCTTCCAGCTCTGAAAATTCTGTGGTTCTGTGATTATTTACAGTGCCTGTAATATTTTTTTTTTCCTTCATTTTTCACTTGCCCGTTTGGTGAGGTACTTTTAATGTTATAAATACATGAATAAACAGATTCTGCAAAATAGGTGTTAGTATTGCTGCTTTGGGAACACTCTTATAGACAGGTCTTTTCCATAACTACCTTATGAAAATTAGTCTGAAATCTCTTCCATGAAACCATTTTTTGTCAAGCTGCTTGAGAACTATGAGAGAAGAGCTGCTACCTGGCTGCTGTCCAACAGCACAAATGTTGGTGAACATGCTTTTCGACTGCAGTGCTCCAAAAGGTTCTGCAGGTGGTGTTGTCTTTGTATTATTTACAGTGTTAAAAATTAAAGCATAGCCAAAAGTCTACCCCTCACTTTACACTAATGGCTCCCTTGATTTAAGCTTGGACAAGTTGGGTAGGTTAGCAGAATGCTTGCTGCTTCTATTAGAGCTGCGGGTTTCCTTAAGCTGTCAAATCCACAGTCCTGCAGGACCCCGGTGAAAAAACTTGTTGGGTCCTGATTAGTTCTCTGTACACTGGCTTATTTTTCTGCTGCTGATCAAATCAGTCGGAAACTTGAAAGATGTCTGCAGCTTAGTTAACTCGGGCCTAGGAACTGTAGTCTACTGAGTGAAGATAACCATAGGGATGAGAAGAGCCGTGGGCTTGAAAAAGATGTGTCGGTCCATGAAGTACCTTCTCCGCCTGCAGTTTCTAATTTAGGGCAATATGGTATCATATCTACAGCTAAATCGGATTGTACAGATACTTAAATAGGGCCGATCAGGCACACCTCCTTATCTGACTCTCTCTCTCTCTGGAATATTTTAATCCTGTAGACGAGTGTTTTGTCATTATGTAGTTGCTCAGTAAAGGGTTTCCTCTTAGTCAGGTAAAGTATAAACAGATTAAATGTGATAAAGGGAAAGACGAGCCATTGGTCTGCTACTTTATGGCAAAGCTTGTATGTCTCCCCAGTATGAGTGTTACTGTTATGTTTGTCTGAGGGACTGCTGGTGGGACTGGATGGAGCAGACTATGGGAGGAAAGACCCATGTTGGGCATGTGCTATTGGCAGTGTCCTGTCATCCTGTTGTGGATGTGTAACATGTGTACTTACACGTATAGCTATGTGTTGTTTCGTAGAAACTTGATTTTCTCAGTTGAAGTGTTTTCTGTGTTTGTTTGCAGTGTATTTCATGTTACTTGGATGTACTTTCTATCTGTAAAAAATGAATGTGTTGAGTTGTTGTCATCAATCTGAAGAGGAACTTTGGCAGTAATAAATCCTTTGCAAACCCTTCTGGACAAGTAAATTTATTCCTTTTTTTTAGCTAAATTTTTTTCCTTCTTTAAAGTTTTGAGTTGTCATTCTGTGAAAACAAAGCATCTCTTTGAAAGAGCAGTTATGTCTGTTTTGTTGGATTGGATCCGCGCTGAAACGCCGTTGGGAAAAAAATGAAGCTGTAATATGAAGTGCAGAGCTTTAGTTGTACAATGTTTTGCATTTCTGTACTTGAAAAACAGATATTCGTGAAGATTTTCAGCTTATCTTCCATCCTGAACATCTTGTAAGGCAAATGTGGCATACATAGGAAGATGGAACAGATAGACCTCTTGCTTTAACTCTGTTAATGGGCTTATTATTATGAATTAAAAGTGAATTATTTTGAGATCAATGTAGTGCACATTGGTTAGGCAGTTCAGCTATTTATTGTAAATACCAAATAGTAAATGTTTTTAGCATTGCTCTTATGTTAGTATGATTGCAGGCTGGCCAGTCTGATGGGAGAAATTTGTTAAATTATCTTCTGTAGATCTTGTCTGTTTTGCTCAGATGAAAATAATTAATGGTTTGCAGGGGGTCCTATGCAACGCTGAAACTTTTTAACCTAATCCGAATCCTGGATGGCTTTTAAGGTAGTTGCCAATATAAATGGAAAGATGGAAGTGATAGTTGTAGCTGCTTGCTGTAGCCTCACCCCAAGAGGAGCTGTGTGTTACAGTTGCAGATGACAATGACTTTCAGAGTCTGTTCTGGTGGCAGGACTTGGTGTACTTCAGTTATTCCCTTCCTGAGATGCCAGTGTTAATGACCAAGAGAGGGAGGTAGAAAAGTTGGCCATGCCAGAGAAAGTCTT